AATAAAACCCAGATACCTTGTGATCATGAATCTAGAGACAGAAATTGCCCAGTTCTAAAATACCAGACTAGTTTATTAAAATCAAAAATTGTTTATGAATAATAAAAATAAAATATTTAATTTAAAATGCTGTCACTTAAATGTTAGATCTTTAATTAAACACTTTTCTGAAACAAGGCATTTTGTAACAAAGTTTGATTTCATGGGCATCACAGAATCGCGTTTATCAAATAACATTGACTCAAAGTTTGTATCTATTGACAATTATTCACTTTTTCGTCGCGATAGGTTTAGAAATGGGGGAGGAGTTGCATTATATGTTAAAAATAGCTTTTTATGCAAACAGATTGAGTTAGACCTAACAGAAGAACAAAATAAACTAGAGTGCTTGTGGGTAAGTATAAAAATTGGTGAAGAAAATATTGCTGTTGGTACAATTTATTGCCCAGAGGAAGTAACGCGTGTCTCCTTATTTAATTATTTTGAAAATATTTGCCCACAACTATTTCTTCAATATAATAACGTTATCCTTTTCGGAGATTTTAACATTGATTTTTCAGTTCCCAATGATTCAGTAAATAGATGTCTAAATTCACTAGGTATGCATAAGCTTATACATGAACCAACACGTTACACTGAAACCTCATCGCGTGAAATAGACCAAATCTTTATTTATACTAAACATAAAGTTATTAATGCGGGAACACTCCTAGCGGACACAGTAGCTGATCATATGGCGGTTTTTTGTGAAATTGACATTCCTACGCGTAAAAGAATACCGTGTTTACGTACTTACAGAGACTTTTCTCACTTTGATGCCAAGAAATTTTATGCTGATCTTCAGTTGTTACCTCTAGATGACATATTTTATTACGACAACATTGATCAAAAGGTAAATTTGCTCACAGAATTTATTAATCAAATCTTTGACGTTCATGCCCCAATATGTACTAGACGCATCACAAAAGCTCCCGCACCATGGCTGACCAGTAATTTAAAGCGCATTATATCAGAAAAAAATAAAGCATTTACAAAATACAAACAGGAGAGGACAGCTGAAAACTGGCTAGCTTATAAAAATGTAAGAAACTTTACTTTAAACGCTATCAGAAACGAAAAACAAGCATATTTAAAACACTTAGACCAACAAAAAAATAGTTCAAAACTATGGAGTGCTTTAAAAAATATGAATGTTTGTGCTAGTAAAAAGAATAATATACCTACAGAGCTTAAAAATCCCTCTGAAATAAATAAATATTTTTTATCGGGGCTTACTGAATGTATTTCGGAAAATGCTTTACAATACTTTAATAATAACCGTTTTAATAATATATCCTTTCAGTTTCAGTTAACCAATTTAAAGACGGTAGAAAAAGTAATCTCACTTATTAAGTCAAACTCCGCTGGTGTGGATAATATTACATTTGATATGATAAAATACTGCATGCCCCATTTAAATGTATATTTATTGCATATCATAAACTGTTGTTTAGAACATGGATATTTTCCCTCACAATGGAAGATTGCAGTAGTTCAACCACTAGCTAAAATTAATAACCCGACAACTTATCAGGACCTTCGACCAATCAGCCTTTTGCCCATTTTTTCAAAAGTTTTAGAAAAAATTGTACACTCCCAACTTTACACATTTTGCATCAATAATAAAATTTTACCGGAAAAACAGTTTGGATTTAGGCAAAATCACAGTACAGCCACGGCATTGCTAGAATTAAATGACAATTTAACTCGCGATTTGGACAATAAACTTGTTTCAATTATTTTAATGCTAGACTTTTCCAAAGCTTTTAATACTATAAGTCCTTTGTTATTGGTCTCAAAGCTAAGGTATTATGGTTTGGACGAGGTATCACAAAATTTTTTTCGAAGCTACCTTTTTGATAGAAGTCAATTTGTCAAATTAGATGATCGTATTTCAGATCTTGCCAACGTGCCTCTGGGAGTGCCCCAAGGCTCAATATTAGGGCCTCTTTTATTTATAATTTATACAGCTGATATGTTTAATAAAGTATTATACTCAACAATACAGGGATATGCAGACGATACGCAGTTACATTATAGTTTTTTGTTTGACGATCTAGATAGGGCAGTAAATAACATTAACTTGGACCTAAAACTAATATCGGAGTATGCAAAACAAAATAATTTGAAACTTAACTCTAAAAAAACGGTAGCTGTTATGTTCTGTAGTCCTAACAAATATGATTATTTATATAACCATGCTAATATAGAACTTAATGGCTTTAAAATAAACTTTTCTAACACTGCGAAAAACCTGGGCGTTTTGTATGACAACAAGTTAAAATTTACAGATCATGTAAGCAGGCTTGTGCAAAACAGTTATTTTAAACTACGGCTACTATATGCCAGTCATGACTTTTTGGGGCCAAAATTAAGAAAACAACTTTGTGAAAGTTTAGTTTTGTCTAATTTGCTTTACTGTTTACCAGTATATTTTCCTTTCTTAGACAAAATAGATAAAAACCGTATACAAAAGGTCCAAAATAGTTGTTGTAGGTTTGTTTATGGCTTGCGCAAGTATGATCATATAAGTGAAAAATTTAAAGAATTAAATTGGGTTAATATGGAAAATCAATGGAAAATCTCGCACATCATTTTAACGCTTAAGGTGCTAGCTAATTCATCTCCTGTATCGCTTAGAAAAAAACTAGTTTTTAGATGTGATGCACATGAAGTAAATATACGACGGATTAACATATTGACAATGCCTAAACATTTAACTGCCTGGTTTTGCAAATCATTTACATACAATTCTGTGACGTTATATAATGAAAACTATGATATGCTCAAAGATTATATTCTTAAAGATCTAAATTTAAATTCATGCAGAAAGAATCTAAAACAAAGATATTTGAGTTCTCAGTTTGAGTAAACAAAAAAAAAAAATTTTTTTTATTTTGTTTCTTTTGTAGTGGCTTTGCATTCATTATTATTATTAGTTTAGAAATTTAATTGATATAATTTGATGTGCACCTATAGGTATTAAGTGGATATGTTTTATTTATTTACATTCTTTATTGTCATTCTTTGCACAAATACAATTTGTAACATTTAATATAAGATTACTTTAGGAAATTGTTTATTTTACTATAATACTGTAGATATTTTTACAAACATGTAATATGGGTTAAGTGGAAGAGTAGCTGTTGCTAAACTTCGCCCATTCTTTACTAAATAAAGGCAATATTATTATTATTATTATTATTATTATTTTATGTTAAAGGTTTATGCTCCAATGTGGTTAATAATAAAGTGTGATCCATCTTTCGCAAAAGACAGTCGTCTTAAGTCAGCCCGGAATGGTTTCCATAGATTACAGTTTAATAAATCTGATGGACATTAACCAAAAGATATAACAAGAAAAATTTGATACATATGTTTTTGATCCGAACTTAGATCATTAGAGTCCACATTGAGTAATTCGCAGATTAATATTTTATAATTTGCAAGAGACAGTTTTTTGAACTACTCTATTTGCTTGCCTAATACATCTAAAAAGGTGGCAGGGCCTGTTTTTTTGCCGTCAGATGTTTAAAGAGATGTTTTAGTGGTAGTTCGTTACTATATGGTTCATATGAAGTTGGCAGATAAACCATTGTAAAGAGCGACCCAATTTTTACTCCAGTTTTGCTATAACTCCAGACCAGTATTGACGACTGTGCCGTCACATCCTACCCCGACAAAATTTTCGAAATTGTAGTAATTTTAATCCAAAAAATTAAAAATACATTCACAAAGGCTCTTGGTACCAATTGGTGCGCTGCGCGTAGTTTTATGGGAGGAACCGTACCTAGTACAATTTATTGTTTTTTTACCAAAAAAATTGTTTTAAAGAAAGCAGTTTTTTTGCAAAGATAAAGTTTTTATAAATACACTACAAAAATACCATTGAAATATATAAAAAAATAGTTTTTACAGTTTTAAAAAATCTGATTTTTTTAATACTAATTTTTGAGCCCTGATAGGGGGCAAATGACGTCAAAAACTGTAAATAGAAATTATTTTTGTTTGGCCAAACTTTTTGACCATATTCCAAATCCAATTTCTAGTTTTTTTCGGCCCACCCTAATATTCACATTTGCTTTTAGTAGTGGTACCTATGCATAAAAGGGGTGACTTTTAAATTTTGTTCAAACATTTTATAAAATAATATACTATATCAACTATACTATAATATATTAATAGGTGGTTGAAGTTAATAAAAACAAAATATAAATACATTTATTTTGAGTTTTTAAAACATAAAATTAAAATTAAATGTTTTCTTAAATATAAATAAAACGTTCTCCTGGTGACAAAAGCAAACTTTTTTATGAAAGATATTTTATTTCGGACAATAAACCCATACTAATTGTATATCCTTATCTCATGAGATCTACAGACGCAACGTTTATGTTTACTTGTGTTATTTATGTTTGCTTATCACTCAAAACCGATTAATAAACTAAAAATGTAAACACGGTATTGTACAAAAGTTAACTGGAAAAGTTTTCAATTTTAAAATGTATCTACTGTAACTCCGCTAGTGTATTTTGATTTTGTATTTGCAGGAAAAATTGTCTTTCTTGATATTAGATGAAACTGGAAATAATGTTGATTCAAAGGGCTTAAAATGTTGTCAAACATAAAAAAACGTTATAAATAAAGGTGTTTTAATATTTTTAATTAATGTGCAAGTTTTTATATTAAGTATAATATTATATAATAAATATTCTTGTCCGTCGAATTGTGAAATAGCCTGTATTACCTACTCTCATTAAAGATTAAATATAATAAATATAATACTTAATAATAAATCAAATATTGCATTCGAATGCAATTATTACATAAACGTTAAAAAATAATGTAAGGTCGCGATCAAGGCGTGAAAGTATATAGGTACCTACATATAATTGTTTTAAATTATTGTTAGATAGATTAACAGTCTTTCCTTTATTCTACCTTCGCTATTAACATTTGAAATGAAAATAGTGATATGTTCTGTTTTAAATATTTTTATTTTGGCAACATTATCAAATGTGCCAGGTAAATACGTATGTTTTCCTCTAAAGTTAAGAAATTTAATTTTTTATATTTAGCACTTTGTCAACATCCTCCTACCCCTATGGAGTTAATACACAATCTGTTTAAAACACCACCAAGTAAGTATTTTTTTTAACCGAGTAAAATATTTTAAAGTAACTTAATGGTTTTAGAACTGGGTCCAACACCACCAACCCCTGCAAAGTTTATAGAAAATTTAATGAATGAAACATTATCTGAAATTGCTACTTTATCGCGAAATTTTTACTTTAGGGATGTTAAGGACAAGGATGTAAAATTTTACCTTTTTAGAAAGGAAAAACCTTATATTGAGGATGTAACTGAGGCTCCGCATAAAGTAAATCCTAACAAACCTATTAAAATTGTGATTCATGGTTGGCAAAGTGAAGGTATGTATAGGTACATTAGGGTGTCCGTTATTTACCAACTTGGTTTTTTTGTTCGCAGCGCCCCCTAAATTTTTAGCTTATGACCTAAAAAAATTATAAAAAAAATATTCATTTTAAACCGTGCCACAAAGACGATACATTTTTCATTTATATAACATGGGGTTTCGGCAAGTTTTACATTTTTTTCTCTGAAGCAAGTTAGTAAACAGCAATAGGTGATAAATTTTTTATAAGAAATTGAACGCTGTACAAAAAAGCTTCCTTATGATTTTTCGATAAATTCACTGGTTTAAAAGTTATTTAAGGTTAAAACTTATAGTAATTTTTTCGATTCTTTTACTTTGACGGCAAAATCATTATTTTTATGAAAATAAATTGTTAATTTTTGAAAATAGGTAAATGTTATTGAAAAAGTAAAAATTATTGAGGAGAGATTCCGATAAATAAAAAATTGTTTATTACATTAAAAGAATTTGGTACTAGTTTTACTCAAATTAAGAACGATTACTTTTTTTACAATGTAGTTATGTCATAATCTATTTATTTCTGTGAAATATTACTAAAATTTTATACGATTTTATAAAATATTATTACAATGAAAAATTTCAGCTGTAGCTAATGACGTAGAAATTCTTTTAACAATTATTTTTACGAAAAAATAAAATTTGTAGTTACGCATGCGCACTAAAGTATGATTTAGTACTTTGAGCACAGAAGGCAGAAGTTGAACTTAACAGATTTCGTGTCGCAAAGTTGAAATTTGAAGTAGGTCAATCACCCATAGTCTGTGGCATCTTTTATATAATAGTATAGGTATTAATAATACCGTATTATGTATCAAGTTTTATAAACGCCATTTTAGTTACGAGTTTTATTAGGCACGAGCGAAGCTTATTAAAAACGAGTGTCTATATAAGTTTATAAAGCGAGTTGCATACTAAGTATACTTTATCTACGACGAACGAAAAAAAGAATTTAAAGCCAATTATATTTGTCAAACATTTGACATCTGTCAAATGTCAACGGAATTAACCTCACTTTTCTCTAATATATAATAAAGCTAATTTCAGCCCGTGACTAAAATTCCCAAAAGCCACTACTTATTGCCAACTTCAGCCCGTAACTAAAGCGCCATAAAGTCACAGCTCGTCAATGTAGAAGTAGATAATAGTATATTATGTATCAAGTTTGATAAACGCCATTTTAGACACGAATTTAATTTAGGCACGAGCGAGCTTGCGAGAGGGTGCTTAAATTAATGAGTGTCTAGAAAAATTTATAAACGAGTTGCATACTATACTTTATCTACGACAAATACTTATTGTTATCTTAAAATGATTTAAATCAAATATTTGTATAGAGCGCCATCTATAAAACAATAGGGGAATCTGTGTTAGGTACCGTCAAATGTCAAATTTTTCTGTGTTATAAAGGTTATAAATCGAAATATTTTCGTTGAAAATCGATTAACAAGAATTTTTCTCAGTGAAAGTAAAGAAAATGTTTTATGAGCTCCTCACGGTGGAGTCCGAGCTCGAATTTAAGTTATACCTATTCAGTTTACTTTCGGCGAAATTAAAAGGTCAGTACAATGTTCATATAAACTTTTCAAATATTGGCGTTGAGAAACTATTTAATCCTTTTGTATTTTTGTATTGCGATAATAAAATAATTTTTACATTTAGTATTATTTTACAAGAAGGGTACTTTATTTTAACGATTGTATGACATTTGACAACTGTCAACTAACTTAAAGCTAACTTCAGCCCGTGACTAAAAACCTGTTGCTAACTTTAGCCCGTGACTAAAACGTCATAAAGCCACAACTTTTCAATGTGTATTTAAAAGGTCACTTAGTGTTATGGAAACATGTACGATAATGGACGTTTTAGGAGTAAAAAAATACATTTAACTTATTTGAAAAGGATAATTGGTGTAGCGGAAATGTCTGCATCTCATACTCAAGATAGCGTATGCGTAACTACGAATTTTATTTTGTCGTAAAAATAATCGTAATAAAATTGAGTACTGGTACTAGATTCGTTTAATGTAATAAAAAAAATTGAATTTATCGAAATCTCTTGTCAATAATTTTTTACTTATCTCTTTTCAACAATTTTTACTTACCTATTTTCAATAATTTTTATTTTTTTAATAATACAATAAAATCACATCACCTAATTAAATGCATCTCCCATACAAAATGGGGAGCACACCGAGATATGCTACTCACCCTTTTCAAATCATTAGTTATGTCTAAATTGGACTATGGATGTTTTGTATACGGTTCCGCCTCTAAATCCACACTGCAACCCCAAAATGTGCTACATAATACCGGAATACGACACAGCATAGGAGCCTTTCCAACAACACCCGTTCATACGCTACAGGTAGAATCTGGAATTATGTCTTTGGAAAAAAGACGAAACCTGTTAGCACTTGGGAAAATAACAACTTTGTCCGCCCTTATCTGATTAACGACGTCATGTCATTGACTACTAGGTATACACCATTTATTTCCAAGGCCAAATTAATGGCCGAAGAAATACACCTAAATATGCCGGTTGGCGATGGATCGTTCCTTCCAGATAATCCACCCTGGTCTGCCGAGTATATTGGTGATGTTATTTCTCTGAAACTTGAAAAAAATCAAATCACCAAAAATATAAAAAACCTTTTAATGGAAAAATGAAGTGAGGAATGGTCGGAGAGGGAAACCTTTCTTAATCAAGTTACGGACTTGGTGACTGGAAACAAAACAGCAACCCTATTACGTTTGGGTCACACCAAGAAAACGAAGACTTACCTCTTGGAGGGTGTCGCTCCACCTACGTGTGAAGGCTGTAGAGGGAACCTTCCTGTAAAACATATTCTTGTCGATTGACCCCCTCTTCATCAGGAAAGAGTGAGGCATAATATTTTTCAAGTAGACCTGAAAGAAATACTTAATTATAAGTCTAGTCACATAAAGAACGTCCTTACCTTTCTGGAGGAATGCAGTCTTTTAAGAGAAATTTAAAAGCTGTAATATTTTTATTTGTTTTTAACTTACGGACCTGTGATACTATGTAAATATTTTATGCTAATTATTTTCTTTTCTTTAATAAATTTATACTTACCAATTTCGGGAGAGGTTTTTAGCCGCTAAGAGTCCGGCACTACCTAGCGCAATATTTTCCGTGATAGGTGTCCATGAGGATTTTCCTCTCCGGTTACGGTGCCAATGGCCCAGATAGTCCACGCACCCTAATGAAAAAAAATCACATATTTTCAAAAATAAACAATTCATTTTTATAAAAATAATTATAATTTTGCAGTCAAGGTAAAAAAATCGAAAAAATTACTATAAGTTTAATATAACCTTAAATAACTTTTAAATCAGTGAATTTATGAAAAAATCATCATTTATCAAAAAATCATCGTACAGCGTTCAATTTCCTATAAAAATATGTGTCTCTTATTGCTTTATTAACCTGCTCGGGAGAAAAAAATTAAATGTAAAACTTGCCGAAACCCCATGTTATTTAAATGGAAAATGTATCTGCTTTGTGGCACGGTTTAATATGAATTTTTTTTTATAATTTTTTATGTCATAAACTAAAAATTTAGGGGGCGCTGCGAACAAAAAAACCAAGTTGGTAAATAACGGACATCCTAGGGTACATATATTTATATACAGGGCGATCCCCTATAATGTCGCCCCCTTTAACTTTTTTATTTTAAGTGTCCCAAAAAATTTTAAAGTGTGGTTATGTAGGTACTAAAAATACTTTTTTTCTACTGTTAGAAATCAAGAAGCCTTAGTATACCAAAATTTTTATTGAAAATAAATTTCTATAGTGACATTATGTCAATATGTCTTGTTAAATAAGTAAAAATGGCGTACTCAGATAAAGAAAGACAAACTATTTCAACTTATTATCTTAAAAATAATTGAAATATTTCAGAAAAGGTTGAATTTAGGTATATGGTATTTTATATGAAATATGCTTAGAATTTTACAAGGAATCGAAAAATAAATACATACATATAGGGTGATCAATTAAAAAAAACTTTTTGTTTTTCCCTGTATACTGATCAATTTTCCAATTTTATTTATACGTAGAAAAAAAGAATTTTTTAATTATTTTTCGATTCCTTGTAAAATTCTAAGCATATTTCATATAAAATACCAAATACCTAAATTCAACCTTTTCTGAAATATTTCAATTATTTTTAAGATAAGTTAAAATAGTTTGTCTTTCTCTGTCTGAGTACGCCATTTTTACTTATTTAACAAGACATATTGACATAATGTCACTATAGAAATTTATTTTCAATAAAAATTTTGGTATACCTTAGGGGTCTATTCTGTAACTTTTCCTTTAAATTTTAAAGGCATTTAAAATCTTAACGTCAGTTAAAATTATGTTGCTATTCACCAAACTAGTTTTCCTTTATTTTTTTAAAGGAATCCTTTAAAGTGGCCCGTTAAAACGATTATTTTAAAGGGGTGATAAAATGTCACTTTATTTTTTAAAGGATATAAAAATGGCATTTTTTGATGTTGTTGGTGAAGGTCTAGTAAATATTCCCTTTAAACAATCCAACCATCAGCCGATTTTTTAAATCCTTTCCTACAGCAGAAAAAAACGTTTGATCTTAGTTTCTAAATTTTATTAAAATGAGTTGTTTACACAGAAAATTCTTTATGTATATTTAACATATTTCTCTCTTCCTGTTCTGTAAGAGGCTTAATGGCACCACCAGTTCCAGTTTGCCCAAATCTAATGTCTCTGGCTCGCCGTCTTACTGAGGTTTTCATTTTACTAATGCTCTAAAAATATTAGATAGTAGATAAATTAAATTGTTTATTGGTAAAACAAGTTAAGTAAATTTTAAGAAAGTTATATTTAGCTTAAATTAATTCTTTAAACCTATTCATTAATATAAATTAGGTATAAAATAAAGAATGTCAATTTAGGCTAGAATATGAAGAACTGAAAAGTTTGCAAAAAGTCAGGCTTGTTTTAACAATAAACGATTCAATTGTATATCAACTGTATAATTATAAATTTATAATACTTACATCTTTCCATTGCCCTATGGTTTTTGTTGGCCCTATATTATTTAAGTGGTAAGTGAGGTTTTCCCATGTTTTATTTACTCTTGGTAAATGCATAGGGTTCCACCCAGGAGAATTCTGTTTTCTTCCAAAAAGTTAATTAAAAATTTTTTTTGTTTTTTCGTGGTACGTGCTGCCCGACTCATTTTAATTGTTTAGAGATAAACACAGAGGATATGAAAAATTATCGCAATGATTAAAAACACAATAATAAAGCAAACACAATTGTGATTTTAAATTTAAATCATAAGAGAAAATGCGCAGAATCTGCCAAAACGTTGACAGTTGAACTACAAATAGATCAAATCACTTTAAACGCTGTGCTGCCAAATGTCTGGCATTAAGTTTTAAAGGATTCCTTTAAAATTTAATTTTTTAAAGGACCTCAAAAATAAGTGCTTACAGAATAGCAGTTTCCTTTATTTATTTTAGCCGGCCTTTAAAATTAAAAATTTAAAAGGGCTTTAAAATTTAAAGGAAAAGTTACAGAATAAACCCCTAAGGCTTCTTGATTTCTAACAGTTTAAAAAAAACATTTCGAATGCGAATATTTCAGAAACGGTTGAATTAAGGTATATGGTTTATTTTATAAATTTATTACACAGTGCAACATTTTTGAGGTCATGGAATGTAAACACCGTTTTGAATGGTGTTCTTCAAAGTACTTTATAACAGTAGCAAAACCCCAGTTGGGTTTTGCTAGTTTGTTTCCAATAAGGATTTTATTGCATTTTGACTCAGGCTTGTGTATGTTGTAGGATATATTGGCCTATTGATAACCGATTTTAATATATATTTTTTTAATTTTTAGGGTTTTTCTTAGGGATGATCCCTGTAACGGAAAATGCTCTTCAAGTTGTTAAATTTCAATTTAGTTGTTGTAATAACTTAAATTTTTAAAGTGACACATTACACGCACCTTTTAGCTCAGACGTAGACAAAAAATAAGACTATTTAAGTGGGTATTTCTTTCTTTGGCTAACCGCAGTAAATAAAGAATTAACAAAAATATACTATACCTTGAAAGTTAATCAACTGACAAAAAAATAAAACTCTATTTTCCCCAGTTATAAAAAATATCTATTTTAAGATTTTAATAATAATTAATTACAATAAATGACATGTAAAATAATCCAAACATTTAAATAGTATAACAATCTGAAGGATTGCCTACTTAAAAAAACAAGTTTTATAAACTACCTACCTATATTGATAATCAAAATTTAATACAAATTAAATAGTAAAACAATCTGATGGATTGCGTACTCAAAAAAACAAGTTTTATAAACTATATTGATAATCAAAATTTAATACAAATTAAATAGTATAACAATCAGATGGATCGCATACTGCAGGAATTTTATAATAACAAAAAAACTAATAATAAAACAACCTGGGTTGGATATTCCAAGAGTTTGATGACTTCGATGTTAATTAGTATTAAAAAGAGTACATCACCTTATTAACCGTTGGATTTGTCTATTCCTTGCTGGTCGATCTGCTTGTCGAAATGGACAGTGGATTCAGAATTATATCCATGCAGTGTTCATAACCTCAATCGGAATATTTTTGCCGGAACAAATGCTTGATTAACTTTAGTAATACTTGCAAACTCCTCAATAGGTATCAACAAACTTGGTTGGACATCGTAAAATAATTCGTTTCCATAAAATTTCACAGCGTGGGTACTCTCTAAAAATGAATTAGTCAAAAATTACTAATTTAATAGTTATTAGTGGCTGCTTTTTCACTTGTACCAGGGTTAACCATGAAATAACATGGCATCCCAAAATTAAACAGCCAATTCTTATGTAAAATTGTCCCCTAAATCCGAAAATACCTTCAAAAATTAAAAAAGTAGAACAGTTTTTAAGATATAGTCAATTTTCCATTTAATATGGAATTGACTATATCTCAAAAACTGCTCCACTTTTATAATTTTTGAAGGTATTTTCGGATTCATGGGACAATTTTACATAAGAATTGGCTGTTAAATTTTGGGATACCATGGTATTCCATGGTTCACCATGGTACAAGTGAAAAAGCAGCCACTAATAACTATTAAATTAGTAATTTTTGACTAATTCATTTTTAGAGAGTACGCCGCACAAAAAAATCGCAATTAAAATGGCTAATTACGCATTACTTTTCCAATAACCAAAATTCCAACAAAATGTGCAATCACAATCAATGTAAAAATACACGCAGGTAACTAGTACTTGATAATAGGGTACGGCCTTAAAAAATATAATCTTTTGAGTTTAATTCCAATATAAATAAAACTTTCTTACCAAGGATATCCCTTTGGCCGTGTGTAACAGGTGGGTGCTCAAAACAGAAAGGAAGAATTTGCGTACGTGACCCAATAATTTTAATCGTGCGCATGCGGCATGAATATACGCACAGCGATACACTACTTGAAACAATTAGGCAAGAAACGACGAAAATGAAACTGAACATGACACGATCTTTTTTAATCGTGACACACCACCGAAACGTGGTAAAAAAAACGAGAAAAAAAACATTAAATGTGCATGGCCATGTAGGAATTAATCATCAGTATCATTGGAACAATCGTTCGTCATATCGGAAATGTGTTTCAAATTTTTAACATGCCAATTACCCAAATCTTTTCCACTCGCGTCCACCAAATTATAAACCAATGGGGACAGAACTTTATTTACTTTACAACGAATGTATTTAGGAGCCAGCTTAGCATTAAAATGTTTATCCGCATTAGACAAAATCTTATTCTCCTTATAAACAATATCTCCGACATTTAAAATCATATGGCGTCTCCGCAAATCATAACGCTTTTTGTATCTATTATAAGCTTGATCTAAATTACTTTTAACCTTAGCATAAATTTCGGGAAGGTTAGACAAATCAGAAACAAAATTAGAGGCATCGGAAATAAAAAATTTTTCGCAAGCCTTCACACTATCATAAAAGTCACCATTGCTAGGTACGATCCTGCCAAAGGTTAAAAAATTGGGACTATGTCCAGTGATTTCGTGAGCTGAAGAGCGTATTGCATGCGATATTTTATGTAGGTCTTGATCCCACAGTTTATGATTATTTTTGAGATAAGATCTAATGGCTGTTATTATGATTTTATTATAACGTTCGCAAAAATTTATTTGAGGATGATATAGGGAATTGTACCAAACTTTAATTTTATAAGAATTCATAAAATCTTTAAAAACTCTACTAACAAAATATTTAGCATTGTCAGTCAAAAGGATTTGAGGAACACCAAAAACTAAAAATATATTTTGTTCCAAAAACTTAATTATATTTTGCGAAGTAATCTTTCTTAAAGGATGTGCAAAAACGGATTTGGTGAACCAGTCACAAACAACTAGTGCATAACAATTTCCAAGTTTGGAACGAGGATATGGACCTATAATATCAATGCTAATTAATTGAAATGGAAACGAAACTTCTTTTGGTTTACCCATAAATCCAGCAGGCTTTTGCTGAGATGACTTGCAAGAATTACAAATGTGACATTTGGCAATATATTTTTTTACATCCAATCGAAGCTTAGGCCAGTAATATTTTTCTAATATTTTTGTAAAAGTTTTAAAAAATCCAAAATGACCCGCAAATACAGAATCATGATTCTGCTATAGAATTTCCAAACGATTGTTAACAGGTACAAATAATGTCCATTCAGGTATATTTGACTTAATTTCAGTTTTATTAGGAATAAACTTATACAAAACGTTATTTTCAACTTTAAACAGGGGAAAACTCTCAGGATTATTTACAACCTTACTCAACATTTCATTATACCATGTATCCGTTCTATCAACATCAATAGTACAGAGATCTGAAGGATTACGTGACAAAAAGTCAGCCAAAACATTGCATTTACCTTTAATGTGAATAATATTATAATCAAATTCCTGTAATTTTATTGCCCATCGTGCAAGTCTACCGCGCAAATCTTTAATATTAGATAACCAAGTCAAAGATGCATGATCAGTATAAATTTTAAAACGCGTTCCTTCAATAAAACCACGAAATTTATCTAAAGAAAAAATTATACCCAAAAGTTCCCGTTCTGTGACAGTGTAATTGATTTCAGGTTTAGTTAATGTTCTACTAACATAAGCAATTGGATGAAAATTATTGTTTACTTCTTGACATAAGACTCCACCTATAGCGTAGTCGCTTGCGTCTGCAAAAATACAAAATGGTTTGGTATAATCTGGAGAAATTAAAATGGGGGCTGATACAAGACATTCTTTAAGTTTGTGAAAACATTCTTCAGCTACTGAAGTCCACTCGATTTTTTGTTTCTTTGATTTACCTTTAGTTAACGCAGTTATAGGCGCTGAATAATCCGCAAAATTACCGATAAATCTACGGTACCAAGACATGGTTGCAATAAAACTCTTAACTTCAGTCACTGTTTCTGGCTTTTTTAAATCTAAAATGGCACTTATTTTTTCTGGACAAGTTCGAAGACCTTTAGAGTCAACTACATATCCAAGGTATTTTAAGCTAGACATACAAAATTGACATTTCGGGAAATTTATGGTTAAGCCAGCATCCTTTAATTTAACAAAAACTTTATTTAAGACTTCTAAGTGCAACTCAAAAGTAGGTGTGGTAATAATGATATCATCTAAATAAGTAAAGACATAAGGTCGCAAAGTTTCATCAAAAATAAAATCCATTAAGCGTTGTTGTACCTGAGGGGAAATTTTTAATCCTTGTGGAAGTCTAGTCCATTCAAATAAACCTCTACCTGGAACTGTAAATGCAGTTTTCTCCATAGAATCTTTATTTAACCCAATTTGCCAAAAAGCATTACGTAAATCTATAGAAGACAAAAACTGTGACTGTTGTAATTGATTTAAAATATGAGCCACAAAAGGAAGTGGATATGCATCACCTTTAACAACTGAATTAAGTTTCCTGGCATCGTAAACTACTCGAAAATCACCGCTCTTTTTTTTGACTAGTAAAATAGGACTACTCCAAGGAGATTTAGATGGTTGTATCACACCCAAAGTTAATAATTTGTCTATTTCCGTATTCATGTGTTCTTGCATGGCAGGAGACAATGGATAATACCTTTGCTTTATAGGGGAAGCAGAGCCAGTATCAATATTGACAGTAATTAATGGAGTTATTCCCAAAATAGGTGTATCTAAAGTTTTGAATTGTGAAATTAAAATTTGTAATTTGTTTTGTTGTTCAGAATTTAATGAATTTACGTCTTGGATAATATTTATAGTATTTAAAGAATGATTAAAAGAGTTATCAATAAAATTAAGTGAAAGTTTGAAAAGTTGACAAAAATCTATACCAAGGATCAAATCATGTTTTATGGATGGAATTACTAAGACTCTAAGAAGTTTACTATTTTTATTTAATGATACAGCAATATCAACATATCCCAACACTGATTGATAGTTACCATCAGCAGTACTTACATTAACGTTGACATTATTAACAATTAAATTTGACAAAAAAGGCAATTTTGTAAGGCAAGATTCTCCTATAATAGAGACATTAGCTCCTGAGTCAAGTAAAGCATCAATGCTGTGACCAAATAAGTCAACAGTTACAAAAGGTCTATTGTCATTGTTAATTTTTGTAAAAGTAGGCGAAAGATTTTGAAATATTTTAACATTATCTGTAGCTTGAAAAGAATTATTATTAGAAAAAGAAGTATTTTTACGAAATGTATTATTAGAAAAAGAATTATTTTTAAGAACTGTATTATTAGCAAAAGGATTATTTTTAAAAAATGTTTTGA